TAGATAGGTAGGTGGAACAAACAACTTCCTTTACATTTCTCTCGTTCAGAAAAAAGACTGATTGAGCGAAGAAATCATATTCCTTTTCAATTAAGTCTTCATCTTGGTCTCTACACAAATTACCAATCACCTGGTAGTGTTTCCGAAATAATCATGTAAATAATCAATAGAGTTACTAAAATTGGAAATATGAAGGGAGCTATTCTTTGGTAAATGGAGTGACTTTTGTTGAGTGTTCAGTCATCCACAATAGGCGATTACGTAATGATAAGAAACCAAATGAATATTGATAGAAACAAGAAGGGGAAAAGATGTACAAAGTAAACCTGGAAGTTACATCATGTTGACAGCCACGGTAATGTAAGTGGTCGATGATAATGATGATGAATGGTGTTTACTGTTGGTTGGATATCTTCATCACCTCTGTCTTCTCCATGTTCATTTGAAGTCCTGCCTTTGCTGCCTTGCCTCTTCTGTCAACTTGTTAGTTTTCGCCTGTAGATTTTGAAGCTTGTGTGACAAGACATTGGACATAACTTATCATCGGGGTGAAAACCAAATCTTCTGGGCTCTTTTCATGTATCCAGCCAGCGTATGCTCATCTTCTCACAGTTGTTGCTTGCATGATGCAGTCCAGTTCAACCCAGTTCAGTCAACCATAATGAGGAAGATGTTCGGTGCTAGTAGGCAGCAACTTTGTCTTACTCCTTACTCCACTTCAAAGGCATCACTGAGTTTCCCATTGTCAATCACTTGGCATGTAGCATCCTCATATAGTATATAGCAGATAACTGTTGAATGAGGTTGATAAAGGTCTGATTTGTGTCACTAAAACCGTAGTGTTGAAACAGTTGCCAAATTACTTCTCTGTCGACGCTTTCATCGAAGGCCTTCTCAAAGTAGATGATGTTGAGGTAAAAATCTAGTTGACTGACATTTTACACTCTGTTCTATGATGATGCATAGTGAAGTGTTACAATTTGATCCGCACATGATTTGTTCTTCGTGAAGCGAGCCAGTCAGCCTGTTTTGGTCGTAATTTTGAATCCAGAGCATCATTTAGTCTCTTCATGATGATGCAGCTTTATATTTCGCTAGGGATGGAAAGGAGCAGAGCATGATTCGGCGCCAGTTCCTGCAAAGATTTAGGTCACCCTTCTTTGAGATTTTAGCAATGTAACCCTTCTTTTGATCGACGAGTACCTTTTGTTCCTTCATAACCTTCTGTAATAGTAGTGTGAGTATTTTCATTGCTTCTGGTGGAATTCCATCTGGTCCTTCTGTTAAACACTGTGGTGGAGTATAATTCCATATAGTAACCATGGTTTAGCAGACTAGTATTACTGATACTCGGTGATGATTGAAGGTGAAATAAAAATCTACTCAGCAGTCAGACCGCGTAGCGAAGTTGGTAGAGTAACTGGCCGGAAACCCAGGTGGTCGCTGGTTCGAATCTGGCCGGGGTCCATATTCCCACTTCACCTTCAGTCATCATCGTTTATTTGATATGGCCAGTAAACAATGAGTAATAAAGTACTATTATTCACTGGATAACGGTACTTCGAGCAGAATCGACTGCTCACATTTATGTTATCTTGAAGCAATCATACAACTATGAAATTGGTTGATTCAGTGAATAAAGATTATGTGATCAATCTCTCTCCATCACTCTGTAACCACCTTGGATATTTTTGTGTCAAAAAGATGACATCTCATCATCTTGTCTGACTAACTGGCGGTTGAAAAAGTCAACCAAGTGTGAAAGGGATCAATGTAGACTGACTGTCCAATTTGTATATCCTATACAGATTAATGTGCGTTTTTTCCCCATTTGGTTTCATGTATCAAATGAGAACTGATGGCAATATGATAAATGATGAATTCGCTTTAGTTAACAACAGAATAATTCAACATACCACAACAGAACTATGCTACACTCATTGTACAAAGGTTAGTTATCATGAATCATTGGCTTAATGAGTCGTAAAAGAGACAACAGCATTTGCTGGAGAGCAGGTTCATCCATTTGAGGACGAAATGCATATCCTGTTTACTACTGCAGCACATTCAAAATCTTACTTATTCACGTTACATGTAAGTATATCCTGTGTACTTGCTGAGTCCTCGGCTTACTTTTCTTTTCCACATTCTCGTGGCCAACACCAAGCTCACACTGCTCTGGGAGCCCCCCTATAACAATGTACCTATCTACAGGCTAGATGACAACTTATCAACAACTAATGTCGAAGGTGGGATCCGGCTCGCTCACGATGAGATCGACGTATACTCAAAAGCAACCATCCACTGGAATGTAATGTACACCAGTTTTACACGCCATACTTAATCTCTAACTCACTCAGGTATAACCAGGAGCTGAGGACAGCATATCCTATGTACTTGCTGAGTCGTCCTTTCTTTTCTTTTCCACATTCTCGTGGTCACCAACAAATTCACACTGCTCTGGGTGTCCCCCATAACAACGTACCTATCTACAGGCTAGATGACAACTTATCAACAACTGATGTCGAAGGTGGGATCCGGCTCACTCACGATGAGATCGACGTATACTCAAAAGCAACCATCCACTGGAATGTAATGTACACCAGTTTTACACGCCATACTTAATCTCTAACTCACTCAGGTATAACCAGGAGCTGAGGACAGCATATCCTGTGTACTTGCTGAGTCGTCCTTTCTTTTCTTTTCCACATTCTCGTGGTCACCAACAAATTCACACTGCTCTGGGTGTCCCCTATAACAACGTACCTATCTACAGGCTAGATGAAAATTTATCAACAACAAGAAAATGATTTTTGACACGTTTCGTCCAGTGTGAGACACTTCAATAACAATTTAGAATTAGAAGGAAACAACCGCTGAAAACTTCAGTTGAAGGATGTCTGTTTCATCATCCTGTAAATAAGTGGATAACAATGAGATTAAGTATTGAAAGTGTATCATTTTTCTTCTAGTTATAATTATAATTCCTGATGATTTTTCATTGTTCATTTTACATTGTTCTACATGACTAACATTGAATTCCAGTCTGGTTATTTTCCAGACTGAACTTACTTTAATTAACATTGTAGAATGAGACAGATGATGACTAAGCATATGTTGTAAGAAACATCTACTAGCCAACTATCTCAGTTGATGAAGGTTCAATTTCTCATTGAGTGACTTTTCTCTCCATTCTAACACTCTCCATCTGATTTCTGCATTACTGACATGATGACATGTTTTATAGATGTGTAGTAGAACAGAATGAACTACAGAGTAATGCATTCACCCATGAATAAGCAAGTAGATGTCACAGAGTCATCAAAGATGATACAGGCTGCTTTGAGAAGAGATTTCTTGAAGTTACGATAAGTACTCCTGACAACAGATCACAACTCATCACGATATCCTGAAGGTTCTTGCTTCGTTCTCTGACAAAGTTCGGTCATGGATACATATTATACTTACGAATCACCTGTCTATCCAGAGCTCAGAGGTTTTCAATCAATTGTTCTCCAAATGATGTCAATCTGTGATGAGTATCATTACTGTTGGTATTCAAATTTCATCGAAATTTGTAAGTCTTTCATGAGCAGTGAAATTTATTTCATTATCATTGTTCATTGGCTAGAAAATAACTCTAATAAATACTAAGTACCCATCGAACTTCATCAGTCACAATTCTAAGGTACTTTGATAGATGTTAGTTAGTTGAAAGCAATCTACAGAAAGCTTTATGAACTGAGTAAGTAAGTAATTCGGTAATTACTTACTTGGGAGCGCACTACAACACGACTAGACGACATGAAATTGGTTAGACTCCCATATGTAAGCCAGTCATACATGAGGTCAATCGTGGCCCGAATAGCTTAGTGGTAAAGTCACACTGACTATAACACTGAGTGATGTGGGTTCGAATTTCAGGCGAGACATCAGTTCCGTTGAGGTTACAGATATGCGTTGCTGACGAGTGCCAGAAAGCACGAAACCCAGGTGAGGCAGGGCTTCCTGCTGATCGCCTCCAATCAAATAACATCTACTAATGTGCACCGTGATGCTGAGCTTCCTAGCTTGGTTGCCACATTGCAAATATGATCGATAGGATTCGATCTGCACTCAGGACTAGAAAAGATTAAATTAGTTGCACTCTTGTGATCAATCAATACATGTAAGCCAGTCTTATAGAAGGCGAATCGCGTCCTGAATAGGTCAGTGGTAGTATGATTGACTACCACAGCCCTAGGGTGGCACCAATTCGAATCTCACAGGTAACATCAGTTCCTTCCTCGACCACAAATGATAGTTGGAATATCCAGCTACTGGTTCACAGTTGGTGGAGTAATGGAGAACGAGCAACTCGAGTTTCTCTGGTTGGATTCCTGTCATGATCCAGTTTTTCACCTCATTTTCATTTATTATCAATCAGGTACTAATCAAAACTGAATTCAATAACATTGATGAAGCTGCCTACTTTTCAACCCTAACTGATCCTTCCCCCCGTCTGACAGTTAAGTAAACTGAATCGAAGAGTTTCAAATGATCCTGTACGTGTGAATAGCCTCTCTTTATTTGTATAAATTTCTTGGGGTGGCTTATGTGTCTATACCACAGTGAATGATGATCTCTGTATTGAAAACCTATTGTCAAGCCAATTTACCAGTGTTATTTGCAATCATATATGTCATCTTAGTCGAAATTGGCAGGTTTGCTCACAATGTTACATAATGTTGATAGTTAAAGTTGTCAGCTGTGCTCAGGTATAACCCTGCCTTTTTCTCATCTAACAGGGTGACCTTATAACGTAGGCTTTAATCATTCCAGCTGGTAGGTTATAATTCAATGCTCTACAGTTTCCCATGTCTATCAACGTAGAAAACAGAAATTATGTTCAAAAATGATGTAGTAGTGGTTAGCTCGAATCCCGACAATGCATAACATAGTTTTCAGGTATTTAGACAACAGATGATAATCAATGAATAGTTTTTATAATATACACTTACTCATTTGCTTTTGAAATAGTATTAACAATTGATGTTTTCATTATTGTACACTGTTGCTGAGTCAATATATTCCGACTAGTATTCAGAATACTAGCAGTTGGTATAGAATTATTATCTTCCATAATGTTTCTAGTCTCTGTATCAATTTTATGACTAGTAAAACATGTTGAGGAATAATTACAATCAGTTATCTTCTTCTCATCTTCATTAGTGTCAACTTTATCCTTACACTTGACTTCATCAGTACTTCGTTGACCTTCTTTACAAGTTATATCATTTATTAACTTCGATGAAGATTTCGATTGTGTTACATTTGATACATCTGCAACATCATCATTGCCAACAATATTTAAACAATTTAGATCCAATGATTTTTGAATACTTTTCACAGAGATTGATGGTGATTTAATATTGTCATTATCTGATAAAATGGTACTCATTGTTCAGTGATCATGAAACAATGTGTTTTTATGTGTCATTTAGGTGATAGAATTCAATTTTGAAATGTTTTTTTTATTTGAGATGATGAATAATGCTGCTGATGAAGACAATTATCAATAGACGAAACATTTGTCTGATTTATTTCCAATATTCTATCCACTGATATATGCATATATGTATGATACTTCAATGTCCAATTAATACACTCCTAATTGACGACTATTCCAATGTTTTTTCAACGTTTCACCTTTTTTTTTCAGCTTATTCTATAATTGATATTTTTTCCCCTGATTTGTTTATGTGTATGTATATATTTTTGTTGACTGTATGTTGTTTTAATTTTATCCTTTTAATTTTTGGCGGAATATTTAAAAACTTATGTAGGATGGTTGTTTTGACCAATCAGGAGTAAGGATAATCGACTATTATTATTATTATTATTAATACTAATAATAATGATACTCAAGCGAATTCGAATCAACTTCAGTCTATGAATCAGGTTGTTTATGGATTTATATATATTTTTTTAAACTGGGTGTGTACGCTTCTGTGCGTGCGTATCGCTGAGTACATGTGTGTGTGTGTGTTTGTCCATCAATACTATTTTAATAGGAAAATGGGTAGATAGATAGACACATCTACGTTTGTTCAACCAGTAGATTACATACGCACATAAATTAACCAATCAATGTTCCATGAGTTTATGCTACATACACAAATACAAACAGGATAGGCGTGCTAACAGATTAATCTACATGTATATAGAGACTGTTTGTATGCATTATTCTAAACCGAAGAGTTTTTTTCGTGTGTGTGTGTTTCGATTTTATATACTCCTATGATACGAGAGGGAGAGAGAGAGGGGGGAGGTGAAAGCGTAGATTGAAATTTACTCGAAACGTTTACAATACTCAACTGCTTAATGCCATTGACACAATATACTATTTCTTGTTTAGTCAATTGATGATAAGAAGTTTGAGAACTAGATTTCCTGTTCATAAAGTGACTTCTTCGAATGGTGTTGTAAAACGTTACAAGGAAAGCTGTGTCACGATTGGCTGAGTAAAAACTGACCAACAAAAAGATAAAACAACCTTCTACAGTTGCTAAGCACAAATTATTGTCTCTTTCTCTCTTTACTGCGTGTGTTATTGAGACAAGAGTGTTTGGTTGACCATCTTAATGAAATCTGCTCCCATCGCCTTCTATGTCTATGGAAAGCAGGTTAAATTCTTTAACGTTTTACTAACATACATTTGTACTACTGAATTAAGTTGTAAGTAGTTACAATCTTCACACCGATAATGATTCGCTTGGTACTCAGGTGTTGTCAAGACGTTCACATTCGCACCCACACACCTGTAACAATGCATCTACATGATGTGATGATTGAAGATGAACCGAGAAGCTGGTTCACTAGAGGATACGAACCAACGGTCATCGATCTCATGTTGTTCCAATTGACAATGACACGACTAGACTGTTTTCAGTGAAATTGCCAAAGATTTCATCCAGTTTCCATAACTACAATACTCTTATAACTGTCCCTAATGAAATGTTGAAAATATTTCAGAAAGGAGCAAATACTTTGGAAAAAATTATCCTATGAATTTCATAGTAACCTAGCGAAAGAGATGAGAACCATTGGAGGTTAGATTCACTGAGTACACAAGACATAAATACACGGTGATATGCACCAGAATGTTTCACTTAATGACCACAATCAGTTCCTTTATTTAATACAAGGCCAAACATTGGTTAGAGGTAATCGATAAGAAGCCAGCCCCTGGCTGATTAAAGTTTCGTACATTTTGGTATTCATCAGAAATTTTGACAGGACTTGATGTTACTTTAGGGTTGTGAAAATGGATTTATCACTGGTCACACACAAAGATGTTTTGACAATAGTAGATCACTGTTATCATTATTGATTTGGTTGGCATTAATGTTTACTAAATAGGTGATAAGCTTCATTTCTTCTATCCTCTGATATAAGGGTAGAACTTGCTCACTCTAGTAGATTGCCATCACCATTTACTAGATAAAAACGTTTTGGACATCATCTGTTATACATATTCCTATCAGCAGGCAACTCAACAAATTTCCAGACACACTTTTATTATTATTTTTCCATTGGATTCCTAGTGGAACATACGACTTCAGTAACACTGTCCGCTCTGCAGTCTTTTGAACCTCGCTCCACGACCGCCCACAAACGTTCATTTCTTCCTCATGTGATCTCTTCCATGTCATCCTCGCCTCGGACGCCCAACTCATCGTTTCCCATATGGGTTCCACTCGAGGGAATGGCCTGAAGCGTGATGCCCCAGTCGGCCTTCTGAGTGTATGCCCAATCCATCTCCTCTTTCTTCGACCGCATATTTGTTGGACGTTAGGTTCTTGGTTTGTTCGTTGCCAGCCAGAGTGAGTTCGTCCTTGCTTATTCTTTCAGACCATCTGATCTGATCTTCAGTATCGAGTGAGCGTAAGTGGCAGCTGTTGACGATATTTGCCTGCTGTTTGTTGGAAATGATTTTCGCGAGGCGCGAAGCCTTGAAACCATCACATAGCAGCACTGACTTGACATTAGTGTGGAAAATTCGGATGTTGTTCACGCTTTATGCTGACTGCAGTGCAGTAGATCTCTACACTGATTTCAGACTGATTCAGAAAAGCCTGTCTTGCTGTTTTTCCGATCCTCTTCTTGTGCCGCCTGTAGTTGAAACGATGCTGCCTAGATAGGTAGATGAAAGAAACAACCTCCTTCAGATTTCTCCCGTTCATGGTGATTGTTGGCTGGTTATTTTCATCATCTCTACGTTCATCTGAAGAAAGTCCCATCTTCGCTGCCCTGCCTCTTCTGTCAACCTGTTAGTTTTCGCCTATAGATCTTCGAGTTTCTGGGACAAGACATTAGACATAAATCATCATCGGGATGAAATCCAAATCTTCTAGGGTGTTTTCATCAGTCCATCTTTTCGCTCCTCATAGTTTCTTGCATGACCCATTCAACTACAAACTTTGGTGCTGAAGAAACCATGACTTACACAGCAAAATGTTCAGAAAAATCTTGTTCTGCATTTTCTAAACAGTATGTTGTGATTATTTTCAAGTATATTCTTGTACCACCAACGTCAATTCAGTGCTTTTATATGGTTCAGAGACTTCGCGCGTCACGAAAAGCACTTCCAACAAACTACAGATATTCATCAACAACTGCCACCTACGCTGGCTCGTTACTGAAGCTCAGATGGCCAGAAAGAATAAGCAACAGGGAACACTGGCTGGCTAGCAACGAACCAACCAAGAACCTATCACACAACGAATATGCAGAAGAAGAAAGGGGAGATGGATTGGACTGGGCATACACTGAGAAAGCCAACTGGGGACATTACGCGCCAGGCCAGGTCGTCGAGTGGAACCCAGATGGCAAACGACGAGTTGGGCGTCCGAGGCAAGGGTAACATGGAGGAGATTGTACGAGGAAGAAATGAGAGCTTGTGAGCTGTCGTGGAGCCAGGTTCGAAAATTTGCAGAAAACAGAGTGCACTGGAGACGTGCTACTGAAGCCGTATGTTCCACTAGGAACCCAAGGCACAAATAATAATAATAATATAATGTATATTCTTGGAATGATTCAACGAGACCCTAGGTTTACCTCCCTCCAGGATATTCATAACAATTATAGCCTAGATGTTTATTTGGCTTGCATATATTTCCTTGTGTCTTTTACACGACGTTAATACCTTGAACCTCAAGTTTCCTAATGCAATTGAAGATTATGATTTGTGAAAAACTAGTTCATACCTTCAACACTCATCCATTAGATAATACACTTCTGTTTTTGAAGGAATCAATCAGTGTAATCCCTATGCTTTGGTTAATTTACATGATGATGTGTACAAATACACACACACCAACTTTAAGTGGAATGCGTAGAATATGAATTTTTGTGTAAGATTATGAGAATATTCAAGTTTAGTAGATTAATAATCCATGGAGTTACATTGAAATACGAGAGTAATCCCAGAAGAATAGATGTCTAATGTCGGTATGAAGGAATTGTACACTTTAGTATATACTATTTTGTACAACTGTTCAAAGGATTGAAGACAAGAATGAAGAAATGCTGAATTCTCACTTATGTCACCAACAGTTTTCAACTACTGGTCTCTGTTATCACGTGAACTTTACATGCTATAGACCACCAATTAAAGACATGAAACACTGATCGCTTTGAGTCTTTTTCCAGCTTGAACTAAATGACAAAGTGGACGGTGACTACGCATGCATCTAAACACATGTCAAAAGCAGAAACCTACCTAGAACTCTTCACTCAACTTCTATGTTATTGACGTTGTGATATGTAGAGTTTGTTCAATATTGATTCAACAAGCAGAGGAACCAATGGTCAAACATTCTTTCTACTCTATTCTGTTGTCGACGTATGCGTAACAATGACAGAGATTTCCTTTTTGGTGATGGCGTCCATTATTCGAAATCTAGCTAGCATGATTTACACCAATTCGGTTAGTTGGACCTTACCATTTTAGGATTTGTCCTGGTGCGAATTTGACAGACGCAAAGACCAATCACTAATTATTCGAACTTGTTATATACCCACGAATATGAGACCAAGGAAGAACACGATAGCGTAGTCGGATGGAATAGTATATTTGGATGGTTATGCCAAAATACCGATGCGTTCTAACTAACTGGCTAGAGAGTCGAACACGAGCAGTGCAACGTAACACGACAGCGTGTCAAATTGCGAGGATGCTTGACCGGGTGCCTTCAGCTTAGCGAGTCCAGTTAAACTATCAAGGTCAGCATCAATGTCAAAAGTCGTCAAACCCTAGGCTATTGATTTTGGAGAAGTGTGTGACGCTACACCATAGTTGATTGAATGAATTCATTATTCAACAGGTCAACAATACGTGGATCAGCGCAGTTTATCCGGAGTAAATCGGACCCCAATCATGGATAGTAATGACCTTATCCCTACTCCGGTTTCTACACTTATTTATGTCATCTCGAGAATGGTAGAGGTTAGACAATATTCCTTCTTGGTTTATTTGACACGTTCATAGTAATCATTCTTTTCATCGTCTCCTATGTGAATTTTATTCAGCCATTACTTAATCCTACGTTCTGGCAACGAACCAACCAACCAAGATCCCATCACCCAACAAATATGCAGAAAGAAATGGAGATGGATTGGGCAAACAATGAGACAGTTTGGGGGGAATCGAGTGGAACCCAAATGCAAAGCGACGAGTTGGAGCATCTGAAGGTGATATGGAGGAGTTGGTGTGAAGAAGAAATGAAAGCTTATGGCCAGTCGTAGTGTCAGTTTAAAATAGAAGAATGTTGAGAAGAGATCGAAATGGTGACGCGCTACTTAAGCCTTATGTCCCACTAGGAACCCAAGGGACAAATAATAAAATCCTACGAAAGTTTAGATTTTCAATGGCTAATATAGACGTTAACCTCAACTAGAGGTGATGAAGATACCCAACCAACAACAAGCACCATCAACGTGAGGAACCGAAACGAAGTTGTTTCTTTCACCTACCTAGGCAGCATCGTTTCAAATACAGGCAGCGGCACAGACGAGGATGTCAAAACCAGCATCCGAAAAGCAAGACAGGCATTCATTAATCTGAAATCAGCGTGGAGATCTACTGCACTCAACAACACAAACAACAACATCCGGATTTTCAACACCAATTCAGCGCTGTTATATGATTCATAAACGTCACGAAAAGCGTGTCCAATAAACTAGACATTCATCAACAGCCGCCACCGCTGGCTGGCAACGAACCAACCAAGAACCTATCAACCAACAAATATGCAGAAAATGGAGGTGGATTGGGCGTTCGTATAAGGAAATGGAACTTGTGGGCGATCATGTAGCGAGGTTGAAAAGACTGCAGAGAAAAGTGGAATGGAGGCATGCTACTGAAGCTCTATGTTCCACTAGGAACCCAAGGGACAAATAATGATATAGACGCCAAGGACATATTTATTAGTTGCATGCTGGCGCGTTAATGGTTGGAAAAATCTCTCCAGGGATACAAAAGCCGTGATTAGCATCCGCCAACTTAGACCATTTGTGGCGCCCTCTACCGCGATATCTGAGTGCCGACTACTACTACTTTGCAGTTAGTTCTACTGTATGCTGGTGAAGCATGGCCTTGGTCAGGGGGCAGTAAGGGCTGAAGTAGGTTTAGGGTGGTAAAAGGTTAGGCAGGGACATGGCGATAAACGATGGTATCAGTGCATGAAATCTCCGACCCATTCAGAGAGTTGTACGCTAGCTAGTTGTTCTGCATGTGACAACAGAAATCAGCAGTTGGAGATTGTAGGTGATGTATCCAAATATCATCCTCATTTGAATCATCATATTTCATTCTTATGCTTCTTCATCTTTCATGGTGTGACAACTTATACCGTTGCCTGAAGTCCTACGTTGACATTACCTCCTGGTCAATCGTTGTAATTCTCAGGAAACTAATTCCATTGTAAGTGGCTAAGACATTAGGTATCCACCGCTAACACGGGTGACTCTGAGTGGAAGAATACTATTGTCTCTTAGTCAAAACTGCAATATACACCCTCATATTCTACAGGAAGTCAAGTGTTTGTCGACTATATCTGATCCGAAATTGTTTAATTCACATAGACGCACCTCGTAGTATTTGTGTGCAGTTCTCTGTGTATCGGGACCTAGGCATCATAAGATCAGAAATATGATTAATGCTTGATTAACCTTAGCAGCAGCTTTTAGTGGGGGAATGTGTCGTAATTGTGCATTCATTTACCGTAGTAGTACTAACTAAATAGTAGTTGTATAGTCCATCCCGATCGATGTCTGCTACTTGAATATAGTGGTGTCCAAGTGAAGGCGAAATTCTAATGCTGACTGAAGGGCAAAGTGATAACAGTAGTAGTGCCACACTTATGTTGTACTTGACGGAAGAATATGCAAGTACATCATCATCAACATACAACTAGGGATTACTGCATAGCAGACCGAGTTACCTTACGACAATTTAGATGAATAAGTATCGGTCAGAACCATTCAAAGAGAGAAAGGGGTAATGAAAAACTCCAGAAGAGGACAACAGGTGTGGTTACTTTATTTCTCCACTACTGACACCAATTTTATGCCACATCCACTATCTCCCCTTCGCATATGAATAATACACGGCTTAGACTTCATGCACTGAGGACATGTTTCAGTCCGGTCACTCCTACCTAAACATTTGCCAGCCTCAACCTACTTCAGTTAACACTGAACGACGAAGCAGACGGTTACTAGACATGCATAGGAATACAAGTCACAACCGCCAGTACAGAAACACCTCCAAGTCAACACACACACACACACACACACACTATCAAATGAATAAATCATGCTTGATGAAAACCAGAATGTCGTGACTTCATAAGGAAAATAAGCAAAATACAGAACATTAGCAGAATGCATAACAGGTACACAACATTACATAACATAACATTGCATAACAGTACAAGGAGGTGAACAAGTTTCAAGAAGAAGGATACTTTAACTCCACAGTAACAATAATATACTTTAAAAGGCATCAACTATGGAGAAGGTAAAAGAAAACATGTACAAAATTCATTCACAAGAATGAATCACAAAATGGGGAAAAAAAGGCAGGATAGCAAAATCAATGTTAAGTTAAGACAAGAGTCATTAGATCTGATATTTCCCAGTGTAGATATCTCGGCCTCTAGCATACTTCCTCTGATCACAGACAGGTTGAAAATAGATTGTCTCCTCTAATTCTAAGCGTTCTTTAATTCGTCTGCCAATCTGCATGATAGTTCGTTCATCGTTGTCATTGCTTAGCCAAACTGCCATTTTATGACCACGAGCACGTGGTTGGAATACAGCTCCGCATATCTGATCTTCCTCTTCGTCTGTATCCCAGTCAGAACCAATTAGAAGCATCAACAACTCGTCCCAGAGGCTGAAATGATAAAAAAGAGAGGGGGGAGAAATAAGTGTCTAATTGCAGAGCAAAGAGGCTCTTAGTGTATTATGAAACAGAGACACTTGAATCAGTGTAACTATGTTGTCTTAGCATTTAAAATGAACCGCTAGTGCTCCACTAAAAACGAAACCAAATCTTACCAGTGGTGTTTCAGCTTCTTACTACCTTTTACCCGGTCGATAGCTGCTACCTTGACGTGGTAGTTCCCGGACACAACGAACTAACGAATTATGCTGGTGGAACGCTGGTTTCCTCGAGGCCCTACGATTCCAAAAGCGTTTGATGGATAGTGGTTAGACAAAAAGTAGTTACTATTGTAGTATAATTTGCTACGGTATGATACACGTCTGATGGTGAGATCATATTGCTGACTGGACGAGTGTGATAGCAGTAGGGTGTTTCCCTTGGATGACAAATAGTGCCACGCTGATGCTGCCTTCGAAACGATAAGGGGTCAGAAAAGGTTAGCACCGAAAGTAACACACTTCAATCTGTCACACAGTATTCCAGTATGGGTTCTGTCTATCCGAGTTTAGAACAACCAAACCTAGAAACAACTCAGAAAAGCTCGTGTGTGACCAGTTTCAAGCAGATGTCCCATGAGCATGGTGGTCTTTCTCGGGTACCTCAAGAACTAACCTTCCACGGTATGAGCAGCCGCGAAGTGTCAACCACCTGTATACTTCCAGTAATACACAAGACCCAGTCACTTATAACATTCTAAACTATGTCTCCTCCTTTGCCTGATATTAATATTAGGCCTTTTACACACACCTTCCTTAACCTTTCCTTCTATGACCATTGAAAACGATCAAAGCCATCAAAACTGCATTCCTCTTCTCCCAAGTCCCCATCAATGATTCCATGTAGGAGCTTTTAACGTCCGAACTGTGGACTAGCTGGTATAGGCATAGCATTGAGCTGTAGAGCAGAGCGTAGGCTTCTCGACTGGATACTAGTAGACGGCCGTCTATATGCCGTTTGACTGAATGCAAAACGTTCAAATGTAGTCACAATGGCAGGTGACCTCAACGCTAAAGTACGAAAGCTTAGTCAATTCGAAAGGCATTTGGGGGGGTATTTACGGGATCCCATGCCAACAAACCGATAGCGGTGATCTTCCCTTGCAATTTTGCTCCAATAATCATTTGTTTCTGGCTAGTACTAACTTCAGGAGAGCCACTGACATAGCTTCTGTAGACACCAAAACGATGGAGACACAGATAAATTATATTGTTATAAGCCAACGTTGAAGAGGATCAGTGGAAAATTGCCGCTCCTTCTGGAGTAGCAGTTAGCACTCCGACCATGTGCTAGTACGGAGTGCGCCTTACTGGTTGCAGGAAACAAACGATAGTAAAGTCTGTCTATGGTCGACTGGAAGATGAGAACGCTAAGTACACATTTAGGGAGGAGTGGGTAAAATTTATCTGGCGCGATATTAGGTTTGTTGCAGAAACAGCGGTAAAGATAATTAGTAACCTATTGCCGAACATTAACAAACGTCATCCTAATTGATTGATGCGAAAAGACTGATCCAAGCTGGCTTCGACCACAATGAAGAGGGAAAACAACTTAAATGTAAGGTGAACAAGAGTTCGCATCGATCGCGAGCAGTGGTGGGTGACGAAAGCGAGAGAGATGGGGATGGGATGAGCGTTGGGTAACACGCAACAACTAATTATTAGGGATACCGGCAAAAAGAAGACGATAGTTAGTAAAACCATCACGGAAAAGGATAGGGGCGCTGATAATCTATTCGAACAGATGGCTACAATGTTGGGCAGAACACTGAAGCACAGTTCAAATGGACCTCAGCAACACAAGTGTTGGACATCCTTCAACGCAAACCTCAAAGGGAATCACATGTCGGTTCTTTTACTCTTGTACAAATTGAGAAAGACCTTTCGAACGTGAAACTACACGAAATAGCAGCACCTGACGGATCCCTACCAGATGTCTTTGAGGATAAAGGCTGGAAATTACTCAGTAAAGTAACGGTGATACTAAGTAGTGTATGCAAATCAGAGTTAGACCTATCACATTAGTCTACTTTACTGATCATTCCAGTCTATAAGAAGGAAGAGTGTAACAGTCACAACCGTGTCCAAGATCCTTGGGTCTATAGTTATCCGACAAAACTAGGCAGATTAGAGACATGCACGAAGGTAGATCGACCAGATTTTCACTCACTGACAGGTTTCGCCCGACACTAGTCATATTTCTTGATTTAAAAGCTGCATTTGACCCTGTTGAGTGTGAGGTGTTATGTGAAGGTAGTAGCAAGCAAGTATACATTCTTTATCAAAACTCCCTATTCGAACTCACTCAGTCAGTCGCGTAGGAATTATGGAGAGTTGTCATATGAATTGATAACAACTAGCAGTCTCCGTTAGAGATGTCCACTGTCACTGTTTCTATTTAACTCCATCATAGATATATTAGTGGACATAACGATATTGTACTGTTGGGTGAAGGCGCTGACAAAATGCAGGGTCTTCTGAATACAACGAGCAGACATTTGTCAAAATCCAAGATGATGGCGGTGACATATCATCATAAATATCAACATAGGACCAGGCATTACAGTGTAACGGTTCAAGTTGCCACACCTCATAACAGTACATCAAGTAAAAAGGCAGTGAGGCGCAAGATGAAGGTAACAAAATTTTAGTCAAAACAAATATAAAGTACGAAGAGAGAAAGGAATGAGGATAATGTATGTGGGGATACGTCTGCGCCACTCACATCGGTTCTTCTCCTGTGGACCTCAACCACCCGAGTCTGCATCACCCCACATGGCTCAAACCAACTGTCAACGACTTCATGCATTCGTGACATGTTTTGGTCTGGCTACCTCAGGTCTTTTCCCAGCCTAAACCTACTTCGGTCAACATTGTGTGATGAGGCAATCGGTGACTAGGCATACGTAACACGTGTCCCAACCATCTCAGTCGACGAAGGTTCATAACCTCGTCAACTAATTTACCTCTACACCTGACTTCTGCATTGCTCACGTGGTGACACCATGGAATACGGCCTATACTATGAAGGCAACGGTGGTCAAACACCTGAAGCCTTCTCATGTCTTCCACCTTCAATGACCATGTTTCACAGTCACTCGGCTTTGAGACATGACTGTTAAAAGCATAAAATATGAAGCGGCCACAGGTCTTTCACGATAGATATCTTTGTAAAATGGCTTGGATACAGTGGAATCACCATGTACGCAATGTCGAAGTCATTCTAGAGGATACTAGGCAAGAAAGGTAGTTCAGTCGATGAGTTTGCGAAAGTTTAACGACTAAGTTGATTTGGATGCGCTGAGCAATCGCCTACATTGATATACAATTCTAGGAGAAGTTGGGTTAGGTTGGAAGATGGTTCAGACTTGGCGCCCGTCAATACAGTCGGTCACTTGACCTGAGATCTGACGCAGACTACCTGACTGGGGTCCCCAATGACAGGAATCCGTGGTTGGGAACTCTTAGTGACACGGCTAAAAATAGGTGACAATAGCGCAGATGACGTCCAAAGCAAAGCTTTATCTTAACTCTTCCCAAACACATTCGTCTACTTTGTTATCATTTTTCTTATCCACTTGTTTTTCGTATGCTACTATGAGGTGTGGTGAGTTGAACCGATGCACTTGTGTGCGAGGTCCCATACTGACTTTGTCTGGTCTCATAGTTACCTAGTTTTCTCGCGTTTCCTGATCCTGAGCTTCATTGAGAGTATAAAGATGATGCAACCATGGTACTCAGACACTATTTGTCAGACTGATTGCTCTGTGGTTATCACAGGAGGATTCTTCTTCTTTTTTGACTCGTTCTGGGCGTCATTCACAGTTGTCAAAGATGCTCTTGCTTAAGAAGGCGTGATGCTGGGCACATAAATACACGTATTCCAACCAACGTGCTGTCACTGTCCAAAACAACTGCTTCAGATGGAACAGCTGTCACCATCTTCTCATTCTTCCTTTTCCTCTCTTTTCCTACTTTATATTTCTTTTGATTGCATTCTCTTATCTTCATCTTGCACCCAACTACCTTGTTTACTTGATGTACTGATATGAGCTGTGGCAACTCAGACCGTTACGCAGTAATGCCTGGTCCTATGTTGATCTAGATGGATGGATGCAAAAGTCAGACGTAGGGTTTTCGGGAGGAGAGGTAAATCAGTCGACACAGTTCAGAACCTTCATCGACTGAGATGGCTGACTGGGACATGTGTTACGTATGCCTAGTCGCCGCCTGCTTCGTCACACAATGTTGACCAAAGTAGGTTCAGGCTAGAAAAAGGCTCGAGGTGACCAGAGTAAAACATGACATCAATGTATGAAGTTGCTGACTGTTAGTTTGAGCCACATACAGCGATGCAGACTGACCGGTTTAGGTCCACAGGACAAGAGAAAACAACAGTGGTTGGAGACTCTAAGCAATGATATGGCTAAGAAGCGATGTCAGTGGCGCAGATGTATCCCCCATACACGTTATCCTCATCTTAACGACGCTACACCGAACCTCATCATTTTCTTATTCTCCCCATTTTCTCTTTTCCTACTTTATGTTTGTCTTGACTCAAGTTTCTTTTTTTCATTTTCCACTTCACTGCCTTTTTACTTCATGTACTCGGACTGTTACGCAGTAATACCTGGTCCTATGTTGATTTGGATGGATGGATGGACGTGCCTTCTGACTTTCAAGTTGTTAGAACACTGAATACACCTATAGCATTACAGAACGGATGCAGTGCAGCATACTCTTCCTTGTATAGATAGTCTGACTTGTTAAACACTGAATACACCTACATAGCATTACCAACTGAGTGACGCTGTGTAATCACACATACACCCCATATGAAGGCAATGAATAGGACTTTTCTGTCAGATGTTGTAAACACACACCACGGTCTTTAGAGGAACCTTAATAATAGACGCATTGGTGCAAGTTGCCATACATCACATAGGCAAAATTATGTGAGAAAATAAACAATTTGAAGACAAAGGTTAGGGCAAATATACAAGCCTTCGGTGATGTCTTCTATTTTCAACCAAGTCATCAAAAATTCTTATCCACCGATTCCTTTCGCCTCGCAGAGTTTAGCTAGCCCTTGTAACTGCTTCACCTTTTCTACTTTTAACCACTGTACAACAGGATAGAACAGACTACAGTGCAGTATACTTGTCGTTTGATAGATAGTCGAATATTTTACTATTCGACATCATAGGTGACAAAACTTGAGAAATGCCAAGCAGGGACTTTTGTATCTCAGCTGAGATTTTGTCAGTTAACAGCTACAACGGTGAAGTGATCGACAAATTCCACCACTTTACTCCATCTTTGAAATAGGAGTAGTTACAGACAAGCGCTGGAGCATCCACCTTACATTTGACAGATTTGTGCTTAAAGAGTTCAGAAGACCTTACATTTTGTCTGCATCCACACCCACCCACGACAAATCTAAGTCAACCAGATGATCTCCAGGGAGTAGATTCTAGGTCTAACGAAATATGCAGATGACACTGTCCTGTTAAGTGAAGAAGCTGACAAGATGCAGAATCTTCTGAACACCTTGAGTGGGAATTTGAGAATGTTTGGGATGCGGTTCTCACCACTCAAATGCAAATTTTTGCTCCAGGACTGCTCTTCAGCGGTACCACAGGTAACAATAGAAAGTGAAGTGGTTGAGCGTGTTGACCACTTCACTTACCTGAGAAGTAGGATCAACCCCGGTGGGTCAGTTGCCGATGAAATCGTTGCACGGATACAAAAGGCTCGATTGGATTTCGCCCATTTACGCCACCTATGGCACCGCAGTGACATCCGTTTGTCTATTGAGGGTACCGTGTACTGCACAGCAGTCCACTCTGTTCTATTCTATGGCTGTGAAACATGGTCATTGAAGGTGGACGATATGAGGTTTCAAGCGTTTGACCACCGTTGCCTTCGTAGTATAGGCTAGGCGGTATTCCGTAGTGTCACCATGTGAGTAATGCAGAAGTCAGGTGCACAGGTTTGGGGATTAGAGGTAAATCAGTTGACGAGGTTGTGAACCTTCATCGATGGGGATGGTTGGAACACGTACTACCTATGCCCAGTCACCGACTGCCTCGTCACACAATGTTGGCTGAAGTTGGTCCAGGCTGTAAAAGGGCCGGAGGTGGCCAGACTAAAACATGTCACCAATGTATGAAGTTGCTGACTGTTAGTTTGAGCCACATACAGCGATGTAGACTGACCGGTTTAGGTCCACAGGACAAGAGAAAACAACAGTGGTTGGAGACTCTAAGTAATGATATGGCTAAGAAGCGATGTCAGTGGCGCAGATGTATCCCCCATACACGTTATCCTCATCTTAACGACGCTACATTGGACCTCACCATTTCCTCATTCTCCCCACTTTCTCTTCTTCTACTTTATATTAGTTTTGACTGCATTCTCTTATCTCCATCTTGCATTTCACTGTCCTGTTTATTTGATGTACTGATATGAGCTGTGACTACTCGGACGGTTACCCAGTAATTCCTGGTCCTATGTTGACATTGATGATGATGATGGTGATGATTAGATTAATCTCCATGAAGGCAGAGGTACCCAACGTTATATCCATTAGTACGTCTATAACGAAGTCTACTACAAATGGTGACAATGGATATCCTTGTCGAACATTAATTGTCGTCAATTCTAATGGTAACTACATAAGCCTATAGGGATGTGTGAGCCTGAGTAGAAAATTTTGCAGACACTCACTATCACAACAGTTTACGATCAAGTGTTAAATACCGCCTACAAGGTTAAGAAATAAGAAGCATCAGCTTCGAGTAAGTACGTCTGTGTTCCAGGACTTGATAGAGACAGTAAAAATATGTGGAATGTATGAACTGTGACTTACAAAAGTCTTCCTTCATATCCTACCATCCTGAAACAAAAATAGCTCAGGCACTTATCAGTCAAATCTTGAACTGATATAAACACTAGAAAATTTTCGTACGTAAACGTACGACGAAGACGGGACTCTAAGTGAATGTAGAGAAGACAGAGGTGATGAAGATACTCAACCAACAACAACAAGCTCCAATCACCATCAACGCGAGAAACTTAAAGGAAGTAGCCTCTTTCACCTTCCTACCTAGGCAGCATCGTTTCAACTACAGGTGGCTGCGCAGACGAGGACGTCAAAGCCAGGATCGAAAAAGGAAGACAGGACTTCATTAATCTGAGACCAGTGTGGAGATCTAGTACACCCAGCATATAAAAGAAGATTCGGATTTTCAACACCAATCAACTCACTACAGCTTTATGCTTCAGAAACTTGACAGGATACGAACGGCATTTCCAACAAACTACAGATATTCATCAACAACTGCCACCTACGCTGGCTCGTTACCGAAGCTCAGATGGCCAGAAAGAATAAGCAACAGGGAACACTGGCTGGCTGGCAACGAACCAACCAAGAACTTATCAACCAACAAATATGCAGAAGAAAGTGGAGATGCATTGGATTGAGCATACACTAAGAAGGCCAACTGGGGACATCACGCGCCAGGCCAGGTTGTCGAGTGGAACCCAGATGGGAAATGACGAGTTGGGCGTCCGAGGCAAGGGTGACATAGAGATCGTGTGAGGAATAAATGAGAGCTTCTGGGCTGTCTTAGAGCCATGTTAAAGCAGAAGACTACAGAGAACAGAGTGAAATGGAGACGTGCTACTGAATCCCTATGTTCCACTAGGAACCCAAAGGACACATAATAATAGTAATAATAATAATAATAAAATAATGATAATGTATGATTTCGACGATCGAATTGAAGTTGTTATCCATTATTATAACAGTTGAAAGGTACCCCATATATTAATTGAATTTTAATCATATAAAATGAACCGGAAGATAATCAACTTACATATCAACATTATGTTGTTGAGATATATTGATTAGCCAGCGTCCACCATTCTCATTCCTTGGGTCTTCCCATTTAGGTGTTATATCTCGTTTGAACATGTACAAATCATTTCCATTGACCATCTTTGATGGTTGAACTGTATGCTTCAATACACTCCAAAAATATTCAATAGTATTAAATGTAGCCACTTTTTCTATGCACTCTTCCCATTTTTCAGATTTGTTAAAAACGAATAAATAATATGACCATCTAAACAAACAAATAGTGAATTGGAAAAAGTATATTATTACTCGTCTTGTAGTGGATTAAGTTGTAACTCCTCTTCCTTATCCTTCTCTTCTACCCCAAGAGAAGTCTCTACAGCCGTCATCACCTAACCAACAGTCCGGCGTGTTTGAGGACAATGAACCCAACCGACTTAACAATTACTTCAATTTTCAATATTTAAATCTCTCCTGTTTTCAGAAATGAAGAAATGTCCACTACTTTCCACGTAATTTCTGACCGCAACCATTGCCTAATAAAATAAATTCTGACCATAAAGTACCAATATATTCTGCTGAAAGTTCTGATAGGCATGAAGTCCAATAGCTGGTTACATCAACAAGGTGGAATACTTAGTATCTGGATCACCAGCAACCTCTTGTAGAGATTTACCTATGTGATTAGGAAATACATGGTGAAATACTACATCAGATCTATGTTTTTGAGGGTTTTTCTTGTACGCCACCAAAGCGTCTACTAAAAAGTACTTGGGACTTCTCTCGCAAACTAGGCTGTAGTGCAAAGTACAGGAGGATGGCAGAGAAGAAAATTCAAGCGTACCTTCTCTACGTGAAGCGCCTGTTGCCGTGACTAGAAACCTCTTCACACCGTCTTCATTACATACATCTGCCACCATTTTGGAGATGCTTGACTTCCTACCACCCCACTAGCTTAAGCTAAACACTAACCTACTTGAGCAAGCGCAGTAAAGGGCGAGAAAGTCAGTTATTTGACTTAGAAGGACTTCTCACCTTGAACGGATGGGAAATCTCAACCTGATAACACTAAGATAAAGTTTTAAAAGAGAGAAGTTACATCAGCCTAAAAAATCGTTTATCATGACAAAGACTTGAACAAGCCTAGCTTCAAAGGCTCTGGCAAGACCACTGCGACGGAACCCAGATGGAATATTTTGCAGATGAGCTGCAGCTAGGACCAGATCCCGTTTCTCTCCCCTCAAGGTATGTGCTGTATGACATGCACTACTTCGAAGTGTAGCAGCAGACTCTCAGTAGGTTCATTAAAAAGAAAGTTGAGCAAGCATGTAAGCAAGTATTGTCTCGCACCAACATTAACAAGGGACTGTACAGCATTCTCATATAATTATTGCCAACCTTATACTCTTTGGTTTTTTTTAATTTCTCATCCATTTCCCCTTCCTTAGTCTCATGAGTTCTACCCATACTCGGACGTCTATACGGACAAGAGTAACTCGAGGACTTCCAAACCTACCAGCAACCCCATGGCTTCTTCGTACACCCGACCCATGAACAAGAAATATGCCCCACACACTAAGCAATCCCCTCACAAGCTCTGAAAGTGGCAATAGGAAAGGATTTCTTTGTTGGCAGACCCAGTGCATCTTGGCAAAAAGAACCAAGCCTAGAGAACATGAAACAAGGCTTCAAAAATTGCCCAGATACTTTACTCGCACGATTGATCCTGATAATGGCTTTGTGCGAAGTCGCCTTAGAATGTTCGTCTGAGTCACCGTGAATTTCTGGTGACCTACTTGTGTCTGATTTCCTTATACGTTTGCAAAAGATTAAGAGAATCTTTTGACCGTCACCAGCTGTCCTCGCAACATACCCCTCTCTAACTCCCTTCTAAAAGGATGTTCAGTGGCATCTAGAACTACTCAGTTAGGTGACACGCTAGCCACCCAAAAGCGAATTGGATCCCCACGAAAAAGCATAAAATTATTCAGTGAACAGGGAGAAACATTCAAATTGATTGGGCCTTTTGATTTTATTCACCTTAAGTTATCCAGGCGCCAGCGGGGATCTCATCATGGGTATCAGGATCATCCACTGAGCGAGTCAAGCGAAGGATGAAAATTCACCAAAATATGACAGTGGCAACGAGCAACAATCCATACCTTGACAACGCAAATCTGCAGAAAAAGCTGATCTCATGGTGGATAAAATCAAGAAAGCAGAAGGGAATGACCAGCTCACCATATGAGCATGACCAAATAAGCAAAATTATTGCCAAGCAACTACACTGGAAAGTTAACAGGCCGTCCATTTCCTACGCTCATGTGACTGATTTTGGAAGATCACCTACGAAGGCTTTATTCAAACGTTTACACGCTATTTCAACTATAACTCTCATTAGCCAATTTGTGGTCACCTTCGTACCCGTCTAGAAGAACATCAACTAGCATCGAGGGGCCGTAACATATCTTCGCTAATACCGAAGCCCACGGACAGATATGAACATGGAATCGACTGGGAAAGTGTTGTAATTCTGGACAGAGAAAATACAAAGAATACCAGAGAATGTCAAGAAGCTTGGCATTCTGGTCAATCATCGACCGACAAACCTATTGGCACTGAACCGATCTGTCACTGACAAAAACATCAAAGTTCGTGTCAGCAGGACAACCAATCGATATAAGTATGGAAACGACGCCAAGATCTTGGCAGAGACAAGTAATAGCACGCAAGACCATCAGGGCAAGCTGTGAGGCCAGTTGTCGGGAAATCCCCACAGCTCACGTCTCTATGAAGTCTGGGTTGGTGATGTTGTCTGCAGCGACGATGAAAACTTCACGGCTTTATTGTCGAGCTCGGAGAACACACCACAGCAATCAAAAATACTACGAAGCTTACTAAAGATGAATCGGCATTTTAAATATCTTAATAATAGCTAAACAACCATTTGCCGTGTCCGCGGGTAGCTTTAGTTTCGGGAGGCTGTTTCAACTCATGGCCCCTCGCTGACCGCTTTTCCCGATTTTCGCGTCCTCTTTGTGCTGGCGGGCAGCCAAACACTCAGAGTCCCTACCCCGACCACTGCTAGAGAAGTTGAACGCTTTTCCAAAATAACGTTTTTACCTCAGACTAATAAGTAGACTATTCTTCTGAGCACATCTTACCGTCTAACGTTGTTTTTTATTTACCTCTTGTTACAGCACTTACGCGCAGGTCAGGTGCTAACTGGTTTTGCAGTGGTGCACATTAAGTTAATGAGGCCGGCTGGGTGTTAGGTAGTACAACCAGCCTCTTACATTTATGTAACTTTTTATCCATACCGATCTCAAGCTTTTGCAACGACCGTGCACACAGCATCAGTTCAACTTGTACTAGGACAACAGAAATTCTCACACTATTTACTGCCAGGTTTTTTCGGCTACTAGCTCGTCCATTTCAGGCATTGGGTGCGCAGCATTTTGCATTATTTTATCGTTGACTGTCTAAGGTCCCGCTTAAAAGGCAAGATGCTACGGCTGCTTTAAGACGGGCGGTGTAGTGGCCCCGGGGGAAGTGATAAGTGGTTTGACTAACAACTGGAATGCCGGTTGGTGAATGGAATGATACAAAATATTTGTCGATCTTGTCATTTGTTCTAATGTATTGCGTTTGGGTTACACAAATGAGAATACACCTTATACGAGGAATGTATTCACATGCACTGGTTGTGTGTAAATATGCAAGCGATCCAAAACGCGTGTTCTGCTGTGCGCGAAATGTAGTTTTATGAGTGTATTTTGACACTGTATGACAAAATAATGAAAGTTCAAAACGCCAGTGTTTGTCTCCACCTGAATCTGTTGGCTATCAATCAGTGCTGCCGTTGTGCTCGTACGAGAGGTTTTTCGTGGCAGAGGCTCAGAACTGCACTACCAGAAGTGAGCCGGATGATACAGATATTTGCAAACTCGTAGGCAACTGCTACCTGACTGTTGGCCTTTGAAAGCGTTTTGGTGTTTTCGAATTTCGGTTCTCTGATAGTTCGTTGGTAGCTGTGGAGGAATGAAATGTTCTGATCCAACTATCAACGATCAAGATTGAAATCCTGAAGTATTCTAGGCTGTGCTATGGAAGAGCCTCGAGTCTGTGTGGCAAGTTTGTTAGTTTCTATTCCAATCAGCGTTAGGATTTCTGGAAGCGTGTTACTCGTTCGCACCTGGTCTGTTCGAGGGCTGTTTAGATTTACTTCCTGGTACCCCAACATCCAAATCATTGGGGCTGTTGTCTGATGCCAGTATCTGATATGGTGGCCTGCCCATTTATCTGCGCCGGTGAATTTTCCATGTCACGTATTGCGTTACATTTTGTTATGCTTTTCTGCCTTGATTATTTCGCTATGTCCTCTGATCACTTTATATATTCACGCTCATTTTAAAAAAGCTGATAGGCTGTACCGGTGTTCTTGCCAGTGAAGGTGAGTAAAAAGTATCACGGTAGATGGCATTGGGCTCTGAAGCAAGTGACTTTATTTCAAATCACTCTGTCCGAAGTTCTGACCATGTACTGTGGGTCCTTGCTGAGAAAGTGGATAAGATAAAACCTCATCCGTCATCCAGTGTATACCACAGTGCTGGAGTAATTATATTACAAGAAACTCGGTAGTAAGTTCCACTTTAGGCTGTTTATTAGAAATATCACATAGTGAGACAGTATCATTTACTGGATAATGTTTAGGACATGATTTATTATCGGTGTTCATATCAGGTGACTCCACAATCTCAAGACAGTTTATATATCCCTAATTTTCTCTATTTCTCTGGGATGACAAGGGTAATAGAATTTTCCATATAACTACTACCCTTGTCATCCCAGAGAAACAGAGAAAATTAGGGATATATAAACTGTCTTGAGATTGGGGAGTCACCTGATATGAACACCGACAATAAATCGTGTCCTAAAAGTCCCCAAGTTTTATTTCTATATTATTGGTTGCAAGTTCTCGATTATGATGGTTTGCTTCCTCCTACTTTCTTAAACGTTCCCTCCTGAATCAACGTAGCTCTACTAGGAAATGTGAAGCTGATGCCGTTACCTTCATAGACACCTACTGTTGTATTTTGAATTACATATGCTTCGGCTTCTCAAACTATCACATGGACTGCATCGCTGTAAAACGCCGCCCAAAACACCTAGACAAGTACTGCCTTATACCGCAAGTATTTATGTAACGCCCGGTTGCAGTCAGTGAATTACTTGGTTTCTCTGGTACATTCGCGAAATACGCAGTCCCCATACTCTGTGGTTCCCCTCTAAAATCAGTTGATTTTAACTTTGTGGCAACAGTTTCATCACAATTTCCGATCATCAAAACCTTGATGACTTCGCAACACCAACACCAGATTTAGTGTTT